ATTCCTCCACAGTGAGGTTTCTCCTCTAGGCTTTAATCTGAAAGATGACTGACTAATCTTCCTGTCTCTGACACATTTCCTGTTTTTTTGCTCTTGTTTGCTTTAATTCACTAAACGAGGCAACAAACTGCTTAATGTTCAGAAATCAGGACGTGCAGCCCTGAGCCTGGCTTTAACTGAGCACAGATTTACTGTTTCAGCCCAGCGGGTGAAATTCACCTCTGATTCAATGTTTAATGTCTCTCCCCCTCCCGAAGAAATAACATCCAGCAGCGCCTCACATCCATCAGGCACAGATAGATGAATCCCTGAGAGCGCAACACATCAGCCACAAAATCTGCTCAATCCCCTCCTCTCTCTGTCTTATTTTTGTCCCATTTCTCTCTGTGCTGAGCAGGTAGATAGAAAAATTATTCAAATTGAATCCCTGTCTGTAGGTAGGAGGCTTGGTTGGAGGGAGGGAGGGTGAGACATATGGGGATATAAGGGAAGATCCTCTGTCTGATGTGTTATAATTTACAGGAGGCTCACGGTGGAGTGGAGGGTAAAGATTCCATAAAATGGAAAAAAAGTATTGTTGAATGTGTTTTCAGTAGAGCGGTGAGTATAGCATGTTGTACTGATGAAATTAGTGCTGTGGAAATGCAGAACTGAGCAAAATGAACAAAATATTTTGTAAGCTCCACCTCTTTACCCTAGCTGTTTTCTTATTTAAAGTTACATGGCTGGAATGAATCGCATGTGGAAACTAGTTTTCTAAAAAGGAAATCCCTGCACACTGTTGGTTTACTGAGACTCCATCATGTTTTGGGTTTGTTTCATTGGGGATCATTTCCCTTTATTTTTATATTTCACTTAGTGTCTCTTTTAGTCCTGCTATGAAAGATTCACTGGTGTTAATTGTATGAGATCTGTGAGGGAGTTGGGGTTGAATTAATCACCTTGAAAAAGAAAAGAAAAACACATCCAGCTCCAGCCTGCAGCATGAGTCAAGAGACTGAAGGTGTTTCTGGAACGCATGTTTTTCTTTTCCACTTTAAATTAGAGAGATTCTATTCAGCTAGTGGTGAAGAGAAAGTCAACCTTGGCGAAAAATGCCTGCGTCGAGTAACCAGAGAGGGAAAATGCTTTTGTGAAACATACGGATGGCCTTGATAAAACCCGAGAGAAGAGGTTCATCTCACATGTTTGAACATTGGCTGGAGGGGAAGAAAGGCAAATAAGTCATAAATTATATTTATTATATATTTTATTGGAGCTTCTAATAAATAATTTGAACAAAGGTGTAATTTCTAGGTGGGAATGGGGGGCGGTTGGGGGGGGGGCATACGTTTTGAAATTCTATTGAGAGGTCCAAATTATATATATATACACACTTCAATATGTGTCACAGATACTAAATGTTGATATACCTTGTTCTCCTATTATTGTACTTCTAACACTCTAATGCTGACATACTTATGAAGATGTCTTGCACTGACCAACAATTACAGTATCAGCTTCCGTTGTGTTTATATATATGATTGTGGGACTTTGTTAAAGAGACTACCACTCTAATTCAGAGATTGCAACCTAAAGACCTTCCTTCTACTATCTAGAGGGTAGTGGGGGTAGGTAAAGGTTAAGTAAATGATGGCAATCTGAACAATGTTTTCAGCACACACACCATGTATGATGAAATTACAACCCTAGGCTAGCTCTGTGGATGTTTTGATGTAAACTACCTGAACCTATAAAATAAAATAAATCAAAGAATTATAGAGTAACATTCAACGTGTATATATATAGAAATATATGTAATGTCAACATTTCTGTCCATAGTTGCACGCTCCCTCTCTTTCGCTCATCCACATTAGCGTTCCACGTCTATGAGTATGTGTGTGTGGCTTCCAGCAGATAGGAACAACTAACTGTTCAGTCCAACTCTGCCTGCAGAGAACAGCAGCGCACACACACCCAAGAGACCTGGAAAAATGCAAGTGTTGGCAGGTATGCTTTGCACCTGCATTTTAGCAAACATCTGAGCAGTTTCACAACACAACATGCAGCACATACTGTAGAGCATAAAGGACTGACGGAGCGGTAGACAATGAAAGATGTTCATCCTCTGCAGCGTCTGCTATGTACGTGGCAGCTCTGATAAGCTCAGTTCTGCTGCAGCTCTGGTACAGAAGCACCATAAAACAGCAGCTACTGTGAGAGATGATGATGATGATGTCAAACCTCCTGAACCTTGCGGATAAAGATCTCAACTACTTAAAATGAATGTGTCTCATTGTCCGACTGCTCATATATTTCTTGACCCATCACACTTTTCTTTGGCGATGCCCTCTTGTTCCCAGATCTCAGCTATTATTTTTGTGAGTACAGTGTCATTTTTTCCAGTAGAAATGATGCACAAAACTACCCAAATAAGACATCATAATAAGCTGAAATTAGCTTAAAAGTCATCACTCGTTTTCCCAAAACATATGGACACGTCTATGGAAACATAGTTCTTTACATTTTCTGTGACATGTGGATGTGTAAAATTAACATCTCAGCACATATGAGAAGTGTGAGATTTAATATTCCACATCTCTGTGTGTGTGTGTGTGTGTGTGTGTGTGTGTGTGTGTGTGTGTGTGTGTGTAGTTTTAAAGTTGTGTGAAACGGATCATCAGACTGCAGCAGCTCCCACTGAGCTGAGAATAATGAATGTGGAAACAGGAGGAAATAAAGCCCAACGACCATATTTGGTGTTTAATAATGAGTGGTGGATTCCCTGATGACGGCGTCAGCATTCACACTTCCTGCTGACAAAGGCCTTCACCCGCCTAGAGGTCGACCGCCATGAGAAGCTGGGCCCGCAATGATGAGGAAGATGGAGAAGAAGAAGATGGAGTAAGGACGGAGGAATGAAAGAAATAAATTAGAGAAGGGTCAATGAGGGAGTGATACGTCCACCTGATGAGATGGAGGGCAAAAGGCTGTGCTTACAAAAAGACTAAGACGCTGATGAAGGTCAGGATGACTAATAATGACTTCTATCATGTTCATTTTTGCCCCTCGACTCAACTTGTCTTCTCTTACACCTTCCTCCTGCCTTTCTCTTGTCTTTTTCCAACATTTTCCCCTTACGTCAGTGAGACATCGGACAAACTTCATGACTCCTGCAAATCGCCTCCTCGTTAATGTTGATTAAAATGTTGGGGATCTTGGCCCTCACATAAACAGATGTGCGTCAAAATGTGGAGAAATTCAAGAACAAATATTTGTCAGAAAAGTGTGGAGACAGTGCCAGATGGCTCTCTCAGGGAACTTGTTTGACTTGTTGACTGTGGAGGCGGTGATTATTGGAACTCACAGCCAACCAAATGGTTCCATCAGAATCTATATAGACTTGCTATTAGGGCTGAACCCACATCAAAATATTCTAATTTGACTGAAACTGTGGAAGTGATGCATCAAATATTTGTGTGGTTAGGGGTTGCTTGTTTAACCTTTATTCATCCGGGGAGACTTTACTGCGAGCATCAGAAAGTGTTGATCACCATCAACACGTTCACACTTAAAGCTGTCCAGTAAAAACACACACAGTCTGATCTGTTGGCAACTGAGCAGCATGTTTAGTTTAGTTTAGTTTAGTTTAGTTTGAGAAAGAGTAGCTAAAAATGCTTATAAATGTAACACGATAAAATTAGTAGTTACCTGTTAAACTAATCCAAATATCACAATATTATAGTAATGTAACTTCCATTGCTTCTGGATAACCTCAACACAAAATATGTAAATAAAAACAAGAGAAAAGAAATGTCAATAAAACATACTGATGTAAGCGTATTCTATAAGACAACAGAACAATGTAACCTTTGAAAAGAAAAGGACCTTTTTTTTTAAAATTTAAAGATTTTTAGCATCGAAATTATGTTTAAAATTGTAATCCTGCAAAATAATAGCCATATCTACTAAATGTAACTGTAATCTGATTACGTTTTTCTGATTACTGTTACCTTTTTTTTAAATCTTGATTATGTAACTCAGTTACACGTAATTCGTTACTCCCTTAGTCTGTCTGTGATGTGAAAAGAAATCCCAGCACCTTGTGGAGTGTCTCCTGTTCAGCTCCTGACGGCACTGTCAGTTGAAGTAGAGCTCACGCTGGATGAAGCGGTATCAGAGTCTGATCTGGTTCAGCTGTAGTTTATCACTCAGTGCCTTGCTTCTTTCCATCTCCTCTATTTCCATTACAGTTATTCTGAGACAGGGCTTGATTTGTAAACCTTTGTCCTGCTGCTTTGCTGTGTTGGTTAGTGAACAGTGACACAGAGAGCAGCTGTTTAATGAGAATGAATCTGATTTAATATTCTTTATTTTCCTTGTGTGCATGTGTTGTGAATGTAAAAGCTGCGGTCGCAACATCCATGAAACTGACATCACGGTTCCGTTGCAGCTAATAAAAAAATGTTTTACAGAGCAATCACACTTTGTAGTCTGGTCGACTGTACACAACAAATGGAAAGTACAATCTAACCCATCTAATGGGTCAGTGTTGAATAGAAGTGATCTGTGAGTTGACCAGGGCATCGCACCACAACAGGGAACACTTTCTAGAATTTGTTGTTTGTACTGGTTTCAGTTGAAGTGAATGGGTGAAAGGGAGAGGGAGATAATACTGGCAGAGTTATATGCTGGAGATTAACTTGCAGGTTTAACAGTTTAAATGTTTTAAACTAGCCTGACTGCACAGACTGTCAACAAGGAGCAGGAACAACTGTGATTAATTTTTTCGAACGTTTAAAAATGCAGTTTATAGTGACATAAACACTTCAGTGTTTAAGTTTGCAAACATTGAAAATTTCAAATCTGAGAGAAAGTTGTTGAGTATTAAGTTGGTTGTGTTCGTTTCTAACTTCCGAGATGAACACCGACCACGTTAATAAGTTGAGAAAGACTTCCAATGTGAGGTTGAAGGATGGTGCTAATGAAGATTCTGACAATCACCCAGCAGCAGCTCTTACCGTTAAAGCCAACGGCGCGAATGTGGGCCAACAGCTCCTTTCCATCAATGTTGGCCATGCGGGGGCACAGGCCAGGGTATCCAGCACAGAGATCGCGGTGCATGTGGTGCAGAGCGTGGGCCATGGCGTACACTGCGTCCATCACAAACTGAACCTTCCCCTCCTGCTCGTAGGTGGAGTCACGGCCAACTTTCTCCAACCCTGGAAGAGAAACAGAGAGGGGTCACATGATCTATCACTAAATAGGTTAAAATGCTCCAGAACAACTATTGAGTGGATCTTGTGGTGAGATTGTTTGAGCTTCACTGTACAGAATGACACTAGAAGGATGTTTTCACATTCACATTTCATGAAAGTGGAAGGTTTCTCTGTGCTCACTGAAAATCAGATTTTAAGGGGTGGGGCCTACTAGCATGATTTGTGACATCACAAATAGTCTGGAAGTAATTTTTTGGTGTGTGTGAAGTAGACGCTTGAAGCCACCAGTGCACAGATACTAAGAGTGGACTTTACAGTGAAGTAGGACACAGCTTGAGTACAGGAGGAAAACTTTAGAAATGAATTCATAGATTCTGGACTTTTTAATGAGGTAGAAGGAGTAGATTACTTTTTAAGAATTTTAAGTTATATATTAATTTTTTTGCAGATACTTTGTGTTAAATTTAAATATCTACTTTAAAGTCAACATGATTGAAAAGTCCTTAATGTGGTCAGCCAATGAAAATTTAAATATCTACAATTCTATGATTAAACTCCATCTGCTGATGAAGATCATGTGATATGATGGAAATAGATATTTAAGTTGTTTACACAAAAACGAAGGATCAGTTTTTAGACCCATCCAATCAGGTAAAAATGTTAGTGTGTGTTATGAAGTTTGTTTTACAAGTAAATAAAGAGGAAAACAGTCATTTGCTTTACTGAAATCAACTGTGTTTCTGACGTTATTAAAAAGCCTCATTCTCATCTTATTTCATATAGGTATATCTAACCACCCTTTCAGTTCTCACAATTATCCAACCCGAACCCCATCATGTTACACCCAGTCTGAGTCTCACTACAGTTCCTCATCAGGACACCTTCCAGCCATCATCCATCAATAATCCCCATTAGACCCTCATTCAGCCCCCCTCCCCACCTAACACATGATTTATAAAAAACTAATTTGTACGCCTGTTACTGCCGCAGTCTTTGTGAGTGATGTGCTGATTAACAGTAATGTAAAAGTGTTGTAGAGGAAGTATTCCGCATGCTTAATAACATGTCTCTCAGTTTTTAGTAGGTTTCACTAGTTGAGTGTTTGGTCACTCTTTTTTTGATGTGATATCTGTCGTGAGGTTTCACCCTGTGTGTCGTAACAGCTCATGTCAAAAAATGACTGGACAAAAGTTGTTCATTTAATCAATCAACATCAAGAAAAATTTAACCTCCCCCCCACACACATATATACACACTAATCATGTATTCTGTATATTGTAATTGCGATTTTACATCTCAAGAGATCAACAAGATCAATATTAATTACGAAAAATTTGTCTTGGAATCACAACATCAATAATAAGTACAAGAAAAGTACCTCTTAATTATGACATATGGATCTTATGAGATGCTTTTCTTGTGATTGGAAGAAATTGGAAGATCTATAATTTTTGTCTCATCTCATAATCATGACACACTGTACTGGTATTGTAGTAATGATTATGATATATGGATTGATACATGGTTACAAAAAACAAAACTCATAAATAAGAGATCATTTCTTGGAATTTTCTTTTTCATTTACACTGAGCTTCCATATAATATGCTTCTGTAGGATTCCTCCTCTGGAGACCATAGATATGACAGTGGATATCATGACAATCTGAACAGTACTCAAGCTTAAAGCGATCGACAGACTAATTAATGAACATCATCATTTTTACTAATTGATGAGGTGAAAATGTGACAGAAAATATCAACATTCAGACAGTGAATCAGAAGGAAACAATAAGGGCCGTAAACAAGCTGTATCCATTTTTGTCTGTGGTCTTTCTGCCTTTGTGAATTTCCTTTTCTTTTTGAACCCAAGAACTTTGTCCTTGCCACGAGGCAGAAAGTAACTCACACATGACTATGGGAATGTGAAATGAGACATTTCCTATAACTAACCCATTAACATAAAAAAATACATTTGGCTCCATCTCATTTGCTTTGATTAAATAACAGAGTGGAGAAGACATCGTCATCTTTTATTTGAAAACTCTGTAAAGTCCTTCCAAAAATGTTCACTGAGTAATTACTGTTATTAGAGCCGTGACACTCTGAGATCGCGCCGCCGGCCGGAGAGCAAAGAGGAAAGGGAAAGAGGAGGAGGAGGAAACTAACTGCCGGAGTGGACCCTCCATCAACAGACAAGACTTCTCTGAATTAATAGGAGCTTAGAAATGAAATCCAATTTAATTTTAATAGCAGGCGGGCAGCGGGGGATCTGTCCAAGGGGAGACATTTGCTCCGGCAGTAAAGACTGATTACACGTCTGTACGGCAGTTATGAATGAGCCTCGAACGGCGAGAGAAGTGCCGAGGATGTCAAACAGCCGAGGCAGAGAGGAGATGTACGGCCAAGTAGCAGATGATTGCTGCTCGCTGCTGATGATGAGTGTCTCCTCAGTATTTAAAGAATACACATGTTCGATCCTGGAAATTGAAATGGTGCCTGAATGCAGCATTTTGAATTTAAAAGAAGGTCAGTGTCTCCTAGTCTGACTCTGACTTCTGTGCTGGAGACAGATAGATAGATTCTTTATTGTCCTTTTCAGGAAATTTGTTACCACCAACCACCACTGGCAGACCAGTCATATTCACCAACAAGCAGGTGTTCGGTACAAAGCTATATTTCCAATAATCTTATATTTAGATTGGATCATCTACTGCTGACTAAGTGAAACTATTTGACTTAATTCCTGTAGATGTCACCTTTTTTGTTTTAATTAGCATTTTAATTTTTTGCGGTCTATTATTTTTTCGCAAGATACTATGAAAAATATATTTAAAAGTGGCTGAAATCGATGTTTTCAGAATAACAATGTATCAAATGAGTATGTGAAAACAATGGGACAATGTGAAAGGTATTGCTCATAGTGATGGACCTACAGACAACTGTCACCACAATCTGCAGCTCTCCTCAACTTTACTGAGCTTTACAGTGAGTTTCAGATCATTGTTTAGCTGTCTGGTCCACAGCTTTACTGTTTTTTTTACTGCTCTCATTGACTCACACTCAACGGGTGGACACAAAAACGTATCCAATAAATGATAATGTTGCTCTGTAATTGCTGAATGTGTAAATAAGAAACAATTTTCTAACCATATCAACTTAAAATGTGATGATATGTGAATGGTTGTGTTCACACACTGCCAGTCTTAGTGCTCAATTGTGATTTATTGGTCAGATTTTTGATGGTTGTTCACATTATTTTTTTAATGTGGCCCATATCAGATTCCAGTGGGAACAGTTCATGGTCAGAAAGTATGTAAATAAAATATAACTACATCTTAATGAGTCAAATGTGTCATATTTTGATATTGTCCATTGTTAAAAAGAGTTTACAGCCATGCTCACGGTTGTGTTATCACAAAGTTATTACAATTCATCCTGATGGAAACATAAAATGTCTGAACCAAATTGAATTACTGAACTATTTAAATATTTACAGCTGGCACAAACTCATAGGAGCAGATTGAGCAGGAGCAGAGAGAGGGACAACCGACGTGTATTTCTTTATTGGTTTGCTGAACTAATTGTTTAATTTCCATAATAAATATCTGAGCATAACCATGCCCAATTCAAACCTAATGTCAGGAAAGTTTACAAAACCTTAAATGACAAAAGCCTAAATGACATAGTTAGAAGGCTATTGTGGATTTGGGTTTCCAGTGGTTTTAATGGATTAGAATAGTTATAATTATAATCAGAATGAGTTCTCTTTCAAATCAAACATCTTGAGATATGAGTAGAAAGTATTTTTCTTGCAACTGCATGACTTGACTTGACTCAAACTGTAGCTTATCTGCTTCAATACACCTTAAGAGCAAATATTACTGGGACCGCTACAGAAAATTGGGTCCAATACTGCCGTCTGAAAAAGTGGGGAGAACATGTCCCCTGTGAAAAAATACTGTTCATCCTATTGTGATTATAAATATTCAGTCAGTTCTATAGCTCATAATTTTGTTCTGAGGGTGGCGCTAGAGAAGAGGTCAGGGTGTCTTCACAATGAAAAGGTTTCATCCTCAGAGGACCATCCATATTTCCTGTAAATTTCTTGGGAAATGAGGCATGTAGCTCTGAAGATATTTTTGCCCCAGGTACAAACTGTTGTTGAGTGGCGTTGACATCCTTGCAGGACGAGAAGGAAACATTTTAGAAAATACACACAGTGTGCTCCATTTGCACAAAATGTCGGTTATTTATCAGCCACTCACTTTAAAACAAGTTACTGACTAAAATAAAAACCTTATGAATAATCCATCAGCAACAGAAACTTCATGAATGAACATGATTTTGGAGAGAAAGTGGAAGGTGAGCAGCGTGTTTGACCTGAATTTAGTTTCTGTTTTCTAACGGGCTTTGATAAACGATGATGATGGTGAAACCCTAACAATGACAGAGGTGAGGCGCCGTGCTAGACAGAAAGCTTCATCACAGCTGCTGGCATTTCAATTACACATCACTTACAGGGTAAATTTAATTCCTTCTTGACAGGATAGACGTGTTTCTGTTTTTCCCATCTCTCTCTCTCTCTCTCTCTCTCTCTCTCTCTCTCTCTCTCTCTCACTCACTCACAGGCATCCTTCACTTTTAATTAGATTTGAAAATTAGATAAACGTTAAACTAATTACAGAGGTTAGTGGTGATAGGGTGAGTTTGGGGAGAAACCAGCCTAACTGTTGCGTCTCGCACATCTGAATATATTTACATAAATAGAGTTTTCATTGGCTCTGTTTTTTATCAGTAATGTCAGTCTGTGTCACATTCATTAATGAAGATTAATAATGATGTTTCCTCACAACACTGGTTCTGATTGAGGGTTATAAAAACATGACAGACACGTCTGAGAGCTGCTCAAACATTCATGAATCCAAGGAAAAATCAAATCCAATAGCACATGAGAATAAAAGGGACATAAATCATCTCAACATTCACTCAAATATTCACTGGCG